AGGATGGGTGGAATATATTCACATATTAATAAATTACTCATTGGCATTATTTACTATTTCTTGATGAAAACTTGCATCTAGTTTTGAGCACAAGCAGCAGTGTACTGGTCAAGGTTTGAACAACTGTCTCTCTAGACAGACAATGACCCTGGTTTGCAGAATTTGCCAGTTTTTTTTTTTTGGTAGATTTACTCTCACCACAACCAATTTCAAGATATCAAGGTGATGTCCCTCAGCACTGGTCACGGAGTTGGGATGAGGCTCTTGTCACCTGCTGCCAGCTGTCTCTTGCCTGCACAGGTGTAGCTGTAGGGTAGTGTTTTTCTTCATGACGTGAACAGGCAAATATGAGAATTAAACTCATGACCTTGTTAAGACTCTGCAGTGTGACACTATTTCTCAAACGTTTTGACCTCTCAGAAAAAGGAGATACTGAGTAACATTGTAACTATAACTAAAGTTTAACACACTGTAATCACTCTTACTATTACTGCATTCTGATATTTTCTATTCTATTTTAATTCATTAAAAACAGTAAATTGTTTACTGATTGCTACTTATTATTTATTTAACAAACAAGTGGCTGTTTCTATGTGTCAGGCACTATTTTAAATGCTTTACAAATGTTGACTGGTTCCTTCATCATAACCACCCTGAAAGGTAGGTACTGGGTTGTGCATTTATTGCTTGGCATTGATGTTGCTTGTCTTACAGCTATGTCCCTCAAAGGAAATAAACAATACCTAGTACAGTGATTTTAATCAGTGGATAGTGTCAAAACAACGTTTATAATTTAACCCTGGTGTCTATTTTATTTTTTATTTCTTTCATTTTTGTTGAATTTATGGGGTTAACACTGGTTAGCAAAATCATACAGGTTTCAGGTGCTTAATTCCACAATACATCATCGGTACATGGCATTGTGTGTTCAGCCCCGCTAAGTCGAGTCTCCTTCCATCCCCACTTATCCCCGCTTACTATCCTCCACCCCTTCCTATCCCCAGCCATCCCTGCGCTGCTGTCTATGTCCTGAGTATTTTATCTTTTTTTTCTCATTCCAACCTTCCCTAGCTCTCCAGCCGCACCCCCCACGTGACAGCTCTGCTATCCATTTTATTGCATTTTCTCCTATTCTCTAAGAGTATTGTGACTTAAAGTTTTTGTGTGCTTGATTTTTTAAAAAAAGTTTAATAAGTCTCTTAATTTTCTACTTTTCCAGATTTCCCCCCTAGAATGTTATGTCTAAATCATTAACTTGCTCTGGAATATTTACCTCTCAGAAAACAAACAAACAAACAAACTGATTTTGGAGACTCCTAATCAAGATTAGCCAGAATTTTTCTGAATAATTCTATAATGAATTGAGCAACCACTTCCTTTCTCATCAGCTCCCTCTATAGCCTTTAAGAGCCTCTTTGCTGGTGTCTCATGACCTCTCTGGCTTCTCTGACTTCCATTCTCCTCATTCTCAGTGGCTTTCCATGCAACTTAGAATAAGGTCCCCAACTTTATCATAGCCCATAAGGGTCTACTTAACGTGACTCAGTCATAGACAATGTGGTCTAGTGGTTAAGAATTTGAGAGGTTCATGGTCCGGTCTCACTCCTTGTTAGTTGTGTGACCTTGAAAACAATTGTTAATCTCTCTATGCCTCAGTTTCCTAATCTTTAAAGTGGGAAAATAATAGTATCCACATCATAGAGGATTAAGTGAATGAATGCATAGAAAGGGCTTAGAACAGTGCCTGGTATATAGAATGAACTTAATAAATACTACCTCCTTCCCTCTTCTCTGTCTGCTGTTCCAGCCCTTCTCCAAACTCGCATTCAATCACTCTAGGGGAATATTGTTTACACAAGTTCTTCCTACTGCCTGAAAACATCATTTTCCATTCTTCATCTAAATCACTCCTACTTATTCTTCATGCCCCTACTTAACTCTTACTTCTCAGATGAGCCTTTCTGACACCCTGTCTAATCCAGACCCCATGTGACAGCCTCTCATCACAGAACTTACCTTCCTTCTAACAGTCCTGCCACAATGTATTCTTCTGTGTTAGTCGTTGTGATCCCAGGAGCCTTAGAGTGGTGCAGGTGGCGACTCTGCCCCTTACTTGCTACATCACTCTCGGTGCCCAGCCTAAGCCTGGTACAGCACTCTGAAATCTGTCTGCTAATAGCAGTTGGGAGCCTAAGTACTGTCTGTTTCAGATCAGCTTTATTCCTGTCTCGTTCTTAGGTACCTTTCCTTGTGGTTCCCTTGTTCTCTCTCTTTTATTTAAATAATGTTCATTCCTTTTTCTTTTTTTTTGCAAGAGGAATACATGCTCACTCTAGAAAATTCCTCACTAGTGATTTTTTTATGTTGTACTTCTGCATTCCCTGTAAGCCATCTAAAACTTCTGGGAAGCAAGATAGAAATAGATCATTATAGAGAAACAATAAAGTAAAATAGCTATGAGTTACCTACTTACACATTTATCTGTTATATCAAAATTATATTTCCTTAATTATTTAGCTTGCACAGTGAAGGCAAAAAGTTGTTTCGTCAACTGGCATCTGGTATGGGGAACTACAGAGTATGGCTGCTATTTTTAGTTTTTATAGGGCAATGTGAAACTCCAAGGGAGTAGATCTCTTTCTTCAGGCTTATGTCTTTTATGGGTTTTGAACGAACTGACACTTTTTTTAATCAAATAGAACACTAAGAGCTAACAACCATAACAAAAAGAATTCCAACTGTAAATGGAAATTAAAAACAAACAATTCAGAGGTAAACCAGTCATGGTGCCAAGAGGAATAGTATTCAATACATGAAAGTTTAAATTGCCCAGGGATAGATTTGCTGGTTCCTTCTAATGACCAAATGATTTCTTGATTTGTTCAACTTGACCTCACCCCCTGAGAGGCACGCAGAACGTTCCAGCTACTAGTTATAGTGCTTCTCACTTGGAAAGAGCACAGAAGAGGTCCTGTGTCCCCAGACTTAAACTGGTCTCTACTGAGCTGTTGAAGGATAAGAAGCTCTGGGTTTGGATTTCAACAAATATGCATGGGTTGCGGCCTTACTGTTTCTTTAAAAATTAACTCTAGCTAAGAATTCATTGTCCACCCAACAGCTCATAGTTACAGATATTAAGATTCTTACTGACTGTTTAAAAGTGTTAATGAGTCACTCCTTGGATTGCCAGTTCCTGGCATTGAAATAACACTGAATTGGCAATCATCTTCAAAAGTGCAAACTATACATTGTGTTTTTCACGTTGAAAAAGGAATTTGGATTTTCATTCAAACAGCTTTCTTTTCTAAGAGAGGTGAAGGAGGGATCTCTAGGATGTGCCATACTCTGAGAAACATTTTTTCTATTGGTGTTGTTTTGTAAAATGAGAGTTTAGTGCCAATGGGCACCTGCATTTAAAAAAGATGATTTTATGAACATTAAAGTAATAATTAGTATGTAATTTTCTCTCTTACTTGAATATTACTTATTAAAATGATACTCATTCATGCCATGGTGACATTGAAGGTTGGTTAAGAAGTTTTTAAGGGTCATGCATCTTACCCTTTATTTATGAATGATGCATACCAGAAGTAAGCAGTATTTCATTAAGAATTTATATTATATTTTAGTTTATGAATATATTCAAATCACACTTAAATTTTTTAAATAGTTAATTATATAAAAGGAAAACCGAGGTTTATTTTTCTTTTAAACACTACCTATATATAGTAACCATTTTATTAATCATTAATCATAATAATTTAAAATTTTTACTTTAGCTCAATATATTTCAACAAAGTTTTATTGATTTTGTTTCTTTAACCTCTATATATATTCAATCTAATGATTCCTTTAAATTTTGTTTTATCAAATAATATGGAAGCTCAGCATATTTACTGAGTAAAATTTGTCAAGGCCCTATAATTTCTTAGCAACAATAACAGTGATGTGGATACCTGTTTGAAAAATAATGTGCTATACCTTTTTCATGGAAAACTATCTTATCAACATTGTTAGTGAGCTTTGAGATTTGAGGATCTCTTCACAGCTCCCAACCTCAACACCCCTAATGTGCACAGACAGTCACGCACAGATGGACAATGGGATGTTGATGAGAAAATGCCTTCCTCATTCAGGTAATTTAGCCTAACCAAAGCTCAAAAACTTCAGGGAAAGGGCAGATTCACTATCTTTTTTAAAACTTCATCTAATTACAGTTTACATTCAATATTATGTTGTATTAGTTTCAAAAATATAGATTTAAAATCTTGGATTCAGAGTGTCACCCATCTCTAAGACTTTCTCCTGGTTAAATAGAGTCCTTCTTAGCACCAAGCTCCAAGCCTGAAGATCTGGGTTGTAGTAATTTCTGTGGGCGTTTTATTAAGTGACAAGATTGGACCATTGTACTTTGATTTGACTATTGAACTAGATTCATTTGATTTTATGACATGTGTATGTTTTATAATTAGCACATGACATAGTGCTTCTAAATAGGTAATAGCAGCCATAAAGTTAGGAGATTGTCAACTGCTGTCAAACAAGTCCGGGTGCCAATTCCAGCTCTGTTCATCCATTACTAACTGTGTATTTGAATTTGGGTGTCATTTTCCCTTGTGGACCTCCATTTCCATATTTATAAAATAGTATAATAATCTCTATCTCTCAATGTCTCTGAGGATTTAATGAGATACTCTGCAAAAGTGCTTAGCACAGGAGCCAATAATGGCTATTATTATTAAATGGTAAAAATGACTTAGAATCCATGTCTAGGAACTTTTAAAGACACAAAGAGCCTTCTCTGTCTCTCAATATTTTTTCAGTATGCTACCCATCATCTTGAAGTTCCATGTGTAAAGCAGACTTCAAAGAAGAGAACACTCACGATTTAATTTTTTAATTTTAAATTTAAATGAAATTTAAAAAATTAAAATCTTTTCAAGGTAAATTTAAAAATTTTAATAAAATTAAATTAAACTAAATAAATAAATTTATTTCAGGTGATGACGAGAAACACATCCCTGCTTCTACTTTGCAGCAAATAAAAACTGTGACGGATCAAGGGAGGCAAAATGAAGGAAACCCTGCGCATCCCCAGCCGGCGAAAAGAACGGCGGTATCACTGCCCCCAGCTGCCACAACTCAGAGACCTGCCCTGAAGGAGGCTGGACATCAGGAGCCTTCCTTCCAATCTGGAATCCTGAGAACTATGTCTCGACGGGACGTTCGTGCGGAGATTTTCCTGTGGAGCTTTCTGCTGTGGTCAGACACCATAGAGATGGTGCGTGTGGCTGGTCACCAAGCTGTGTACAAGTCAGCCTGGCTATACCCAGTCTATATATTTAGTTTTATTTCTCTTCTGCGAATTATACTCACTCCCCAGAACCCTCTTCTGAATTCCCTGGGCATTCTACTCCAGGATTTACCCTTTATTTTTGTCAGACTTAGTTTAATCATTGCCTTGGGTACTATCACCCCCGTATTGGGCCTTTGCAAAAATGTACTGGTGACACTCTCTTATGTTTACTTCAATTACTTAACCAAATTCAGGGTGTTCTCTACCTTTGAATTGTCTCCATTTTAAAAAGGAAACGTAATATAGTCAAACCTCTTTATTATGCATGTGTACACTTTTATATTCTTATTTTTTTCTGGGGCATACATTTTTACAATATATAAAGAAATAAAACTAGATTGTAGAAAATAAACTATTATTAAAAACTCTAACATCAGTTTTTTATGTGAATAAATGATGCTAAATATAAGTAAATTTATCTTCTTGTAAGTTGGGTCCTCTGGATCCCTAGAAAATATTAGTAGTTAATGCAGATAGTTATGCATATTACAACTTCCTTAAAACATTCTTCAATAAAGCCTTATAAAAATGAGAACATGTTTCCTTACTAAGTCCAAGAATGAGATTTTTATAATTTTAGTAAGTTGATCATATTATATTAAAAAGCATTACAATTAATGTTTAAAATTAATTAAAAAAATATACCTGGATTTATTCAATAATTTTTAAATTACACTTTTTAAAAATCTGAATTGCAGTTTTAGGGTTTCCTTCAAGCAAGGAATTATATTCTTTATTCCACACTGATAAGTGACTTTTATGTAATTAATTAATTTAAGCATAAAAAGGAATTCTGTTTAACAGATATTTGGCTCAGTTTAATGCTTAGCTCTTTCGTTAGAACTGAAGTGCTAACATAAAGATTGTTTACTATAATAAAGCCAAGGTACATAAGTAATTCCTAGATAAAATTTTATAATAGTAAGCTATAAATTCCAGATACAGATGTCAAAGTAAGAGTATTTGTGGAATTTGGTACCATGATAAAAATAATCACAAATGAGCCCTGTTTAAAATTAGTTCAGCTAACAAATGTAACAGCAAATACACTAGTGAGTGTCTTATGTGATTATAGATAATGAATATCATGATGTAAATAATTAGATACATAATTATATATTTTGCATTCACTATGTTGGGACACTCTTGAATATTCATAGTAGGTGCTATTCATTTTCTATGAGTTTTCAGATGCTTAAAAGGCTTGTGAGGGACTTCATGGGTGCAGAGTCATGTTTTACAGAGCCAGTCTCTTCAATACTCTCTGGGAACAAGTAGCTTAAGACTGCATAACTGAACTCGGCTGCCATCCATCTCTCCACCAAAGCCCCTAGTCACTGTTTTGTGCTTTATGGTTTTCCCTCACACTCTCAGAGGTCTATTTTCAGCTCCTAAAAGCTTTGCTTCTGGCTTTATCACTTTGGGCAAATTCTTTGAGTATTGTAAGCCCTAGTTTCTGCATCTAAAAGATGAGCATAATAATAGTACTATAATAGGTTTAAATAGTACTTCATAGGTTGAGAGGGTTAAATGAGGGAGAGCATGGTTTCCTCATTGTCCGGCAAACAATAGTAACTCGATAAATGCTAAGTATTTTAATTGTACCAAGTCAAAGAAAGACAAGTAGCTAAATGGATTGTTTCAATTCTCCTGTTGTATTGTTTTTAAATTTATTTTTCAAAATTTTTATTGTATTTTTCCATTACCATTTAGTCATATTATACCCCTGTCCTGCCCACAATCACCGCGCTGCTGTCAATGTCTGAGTCCTTTTTCCTTTTTCCTTTTTTGCTCACCCCTCCACCACCTAACCTTCCCCACTTAGCTGTCATCCTGCTCTCTCTATATGAGTCTGTCTCTGTTTTGCTTGTTAGTTCAGTTTGTTCATTAGGCCCACATATGACTGAAATCACATGTTATTTGTCTTTCTCACATTGTCTTGGCATAATGTTCTCCAGGTCCATCCATACTGTCCAAAGGGTAAAACTTTCCTCCTTTTTATGATCAAGTAGTATTCTTGTATATAAATATTACAGAGTTGCTTTTTCCACCCTAGAATGGACACTTGGGCTAATTCCGTGCAAATAATACTGCAATGAACACGAAGGTGCTTATGTTCTTTTGAATTAGTGTTTTGGATTCCTTTGGATATATTCCCAGAAGTAGGATTACTGAGTCTAAAGGCATTATTAATTTTTAATTTTTTGAGGTATCCTCATACTGGTTTCCACAGTGGCTGCACCGATTTGCATTCTCACTAATAGTGCACTAGGGTTCCCCTTCTCCACATCCTCACCAGGACTTGTCTGTGAATTTATTGATGATAGCCATTCTGACAGGTATGAGGTATCTCATTGCTATTTTACTTTACATTTCTCTAATGATTAGTGACACTGAGCACCTTTTCATATGTCTGTTGGCCATCTGTATGGCATCTTTGGAAAAGTGTCTAGTCAGGTCTTTTGCCCATTTTTTAATTGAATTGTTTGGGGGGTTTTTTGGTGTTGAGTTTTGTAAGTTCTTTATAAATTTTAGATATTAACCCCTTATCAGATGTATCAGAGAATATGGTCTTCCATTGTGTGGACTGTCATTTTATTTTGTTGATGGTTCCCTTTGCTGTGCAAAAACTTTCTGGTTTGATATAGTCCCATTGGTTTATTTTATTTTTTCTTTTGTTTCCCTTGCCTGGAGAAATATATCTGATAAAGTATTGTTATGAACTATGTCTGAGATTTTGCTACCTATGTTTTCTTCTAGGATCTTAGTGGTTTTAGGTCTAAAATTTAAGTTTTTAATACATTTTGAATTTATTCTTGTGTGTGGTGTAAGAAGGTGATCTAGTTTCATTTTTCTGTTCATAAAGGCATTTGATAAAATCCTGCACATATTTATGGTAAAACTGTCTGCAAAGTGGGAATAGAGGGAATATGCCTAAGCATAATAAAGGTCATCTATGACAAACCCAGTGCCAGCATCATAATCAGTGGGCAAAAAACTGTAAGTGTCCCCCTTAAGATCAGGAACAAGACAGGGATGTCCCCTTTCACCTCTCCTATTCAACATAGTACTGGAAGTCCTAGCCGCAGCAATCAGAGAAGAAGAAATGAAAGGCAACCAAATTGGAAAAGGAGAAGTAAAACTGTCTTTATTTGCGGATGACATGATACTGTACATAGAGAACCCCAAAGATTCCACCAAGAAACTACCAGAACTGATCAATGAATTCAGCAAAGTATCAGGATACAAAATTAATATGCAGAAGAAATCAGTTGCATTTTTATATGCCAATAAGGAACTAACAGAAAGGGATTTTTAAGAAAACAATCCCATTTACAATTGCTTCAAAAAGAATAAAATACCTAAGAATAATTCTAACCAATGATGTAAAAGACCTGTACATGGAAAATTATATGACGTTGAAGAAAGAAAATGAAGAAGGTACAAATAAGTGGAAGCACATACTGTGTTCATGGATAGGAAGAAATAACATCATTAAAATGTCCATGCTCCCCAAAGCAATCTATAAATTCAATGCAATTCCCATCAAGATTCCAATGACGTATTTCACAGAACTAGAACAAATAATTAGAAAACGTATATGGAACCACAAAAATGTATATGGAACCACATAGCACTGCGATCCTGAGAAAGAAAGGTTGGAGGAATCATACTACCTAAAATCAAACTATACTACAAGCCCATAGTAATCAAAACAGCCTGGTACTAGCATAAAAACAGACACAATAATCAGTAGAACAGAATAGAGATAGCCCAGAAATAAACCCACATCTTTATAGTTAATATTTGACAGAGGAAGCAAGCACAAAAAAAGGGTTAAAGATAGTTTATTTACAAATAGTCTGGGAAAACTGGATAGATAGGTCTTGCACTCTTTTATGTCCTTGCTTACCCTCAAAAATAATCATTTCAACCATGAATTTGTAAAAAAAATTAGTATGTAAAATCTTAAGTTTACCTCAGACTGTAATTTTTTTATCAAGTAGCATTATGTTCAGAAATGAGAAGTGTGCTGAATATACAGATTAGAGTAAATGTGAGTATTTATTAGTCAAGCATTTGAGAGTCCCCTATCAGTTTTCATAGAATCCTATCATAGCACTTTATTAAAACTTTCATTGTATGTTTATTTTTCTGAGTTATCCATTAATTTTTAAATCCTTCAGAGGAAGGCCTGTGGTTATCTTGATTAACAATGTATCTTTGTCTTCATCTATCAGTCCAACAAACTTACAATACTTAACTCTAAGAATATTAATACAAATAATTTCTTTTAAACTATGACATAATCTTTTATTAAGAACATATAACCAAGTAGTTGATTTGTAATATTCCTAAATATTAAAATATATTGCATAAATTTATATGTACCTTTATTAAAATATATAGTACGAACAGTGCTCATACTGGAAAGTATTATTTACTTGAATGTAAAATACGTTTTGTACCTTATATTTGAATGTGGATGCACCTGATATATTGGGAAGTTGCAACATTTTATAAAAATAATGAAGACATGTACAAAAGATCACATGTAGGAGGAAAATTGCTGATTATCTAATGTAATTAAATATCTTATTTGAGAGTATACACGTTAATAATAGTCAAGTCTGTGGTATGTTATAGAAATTGCAGCAAATTATGCTAATGAAACATTTATAGTTCTACAGTGTGTTATTAAAAGTTATGTTATTAAAGTTATATTGCAATTCTCATAGCTTCTAAAGGTTGTTGATACTAAGGCCTATATCAATTTTGTGTCCTTTTGAAAAGCTAGCTTTTCATCCTCGCTGGGTGGCTGAGTTGGCAGAAGCATCAACTCATACAATAAAAGGTTGCAGGTTTGATTTCTGGTCAGGGCACATACCTAGGTTGTGTGTTTAGTCCCTGGTCAGGATGCCTATGGGAGGGAACCAATCAATATTTGTCTCGAACATTAATGTTTCTCTCTCTGTCTCTCTCAAATCAAACATATCCTCAGGTGAGTATTTAAAACATTATTAAAAATGAAACTGCCTTAGGACCCAGCAATTCCACTTGTGGGAATTTATTCAAAGAAATATAAAACACCAATTCGAAAGAACATATGTACCCCTATGTTTATTGCAGGGTTATTTACAATAGTCAAGATTTGGAAATAGCCCAATTATTCATCAGTAGATTAGTGGATAAAAAAAGCAGTGGTATATTTACACAGTGGAATACTA